TAAAATTTAAAATTCAATTTTTTTTAATCTTTCTATTAATATTATACATGTTACACATTAAATGATAAAAATTTCAAAATAAAAAAATAAAAAATAAAACTAAAAATAGCCCATTTTAAGTTTTTCTAATTTAACAAAAAGTTTCTTTTTGATCATCTACTTAAAAACTTCTTCTTTAACTCCTTTATTTTAAAATTTTTGTTAAAATAATGTATTCCAATACAAAAACTTAATGGAAAAACTAAAAAAAAAAATCAAAATTTCAACTTTAAAACCAAAAAATAAAAATTTAAGTAACAAATTAAAAAAACTTTTTATAAAAATAAAAAAATAAGTTGAAAATTTAAAATCTTAAGGTTTCATATGGTGGCTCGATAACGGTAGGTTTCGAATTAATTTAATTTATTATAATTATTTAGAATTAAATTAAATAAGATAAGTATTTTGAAAAAGATATTGAAAGATACGTGGCCAACACTTTTTCATGCGCGTATGTGGCAAAACCACACCCATGTTTTTGTTTTCAGATTGCCCTTCGAATTATCTAATTTGATCCACAGATTCCAGATGCCAGAACACGAAAGGCAATACACCCGAGTCACACCTTAACACACCCAAAACGGGAAGGAAGAGCCTTGCCTTCTGGACATCTCAACTGCTACACGAAGCTGCCGTAAGCACTAATAATATATTGGAGCCCACACGCAGCCTAACGTATTCTCTCTCTCTTCATCCCTCTGCAACTTGCAACATCATTCGCAGAGAGCTGCACGACATTCGAAGCCGCGTTTCACTCCTTTGTAAGTCTCTTCTCTCCTCCCCCCATCCTCACCCCCTACAGCTTTCATTTTCAATTTCAATTCATCTTTCCTCTCTTCCTTGCCATTGTTTTCACATATTTTTGTTAGGGTTGATAGATTTGGGATGATTTGAGGTAAATTGTATGGTTTCTTGGTTTTGATTTATGGGTTTTGGGTTGTATTCGGTTTTATTAAATGGGTTTCTTTCAAATTCTGTTCTTGATGATTTATTCGTTGTTTTTGTAGTTGGATTCTCGTTTAAGAATTGGAAAGTTTAAATTTTTTTTTGTTGTTTTAATTTCAATGAGTGATGGGGTTTATGTCGATTGAAACGGGGAATTCCCAATTCGTTATTGAATGGTTTTTGATTTGTTTCTGTATTTGTTAATGTTAATCTTATTGTGTTTGCAGGGAATAAGGTGAGTTCTCGCTGCGCGTGTCCCTTTCTCTTCTCCAGTTCTCCTAATTCAAGCTAGGTTTCCGTATATATTCATATTTGACCCGATGGAGGTTAAGCTCTGGAACGACAAGCGCGAGAGAGAAATGTATGAGAATTTTGCGGAGCTTTACGCCATAATCAAAGCCACAGAGAAGCTCGAGAAGGCCTACATTCGGGATATCATATCCCCGTCTGAGTATGAGGCGGAGTGCCAGAAGCTTATTGCCCATTTCAAAACCCTCGCTTCTACCCTCAAGGATACTGTCCCTAGTATTGAACGCTTTGCGGATACGTATAAGATGGACTGTCCAGCTGCTATAAACCGGCTTGTGACATCTGGGGTGCCTGCTACTGTGGAGCACCGGGCTGCTGCAGCTGCCTCTGCCACCACCTCTGCTGCTATTGTGGCTGAGTGTGTGCAGAATTTCATCACTGCCATGGACTCTTTGAAGCTTAACATGGTGGCTGTTGATCAAGTACATCCTCTGCTGTCTGACCTCTCAGCTTCACTCAATAAGCTGACCATTCTGCCTCCAGATTTTGAGGGGAAGACGAAGATGAGGGAATGGATTTCAAGACTGTCCAAGATGGGGGCGGCCGATGAGTTGACAGAACAGCAGGCTAGGCAGCTGCACTTTGATCTGGAGTCCTCCTACAATTCATTTATGGCGGCTTTGCCTACGGCTGGTACTTGATCGGTTTGGTTTTTCATTGGGGTGATTTTGCATATATTATCTTGTTTGGTGCTGCAATCTGGTAGAGTCTCTCAGTTATGTTATGTCTTGCATTATTTATCTTGAGCTTACACTTTGGGAGTGATTGGATTGCCGCACTCCAAGGTTATTTTTATTTTGTGCTGATTGTTTAAGAAATTGTTCTTCATGTGATATCATGAATTTGGAACTCTGTTTTGCAAGGTCATAATTCATTCTCTTATTGTTTTTGGCTGTATAATCCTTGTATGTTCACCAACAGATGATTTTTTTTCTTTTTTTGGGAGGGGGGGTGGGGTGTTGGGGTTGTTGTGAATCCTGATTTCGTTCTTTGATTCTTTTCTTTTGAATTCTGGGAACCCGTATATGTTGAATAAAAATAGGCATGTGATTTTTTAAATAAGTAAAAAATGTACAAGTCTTATATAATAAGAGTAGTTTTCTTACATAAGGAGCCTAAAAATAGGCATGTGTTAACTAATTAACTTTCTACAAATTGTACAAGAGAAAAGGTGTTGTGATCTCCATTCTGATCAAACAAAGGCTTTGGGGTCTCATTTTATATAAATACATACAAATAATGAGAACAAAATGAAAGCAAAAGAGTAGCCTTTGAACTGAAAGTACACTTACTCAAAGAGGTTTGAAATAGCCCTTACAATGCCTTGAGCAATCTCCTTGCAGTTCAGAACATGAGAGCCAATCAAAGGATCCTCAAGTATAAGAAATTTGCCAAACATGACCTGAATTTCTTGTTTGTGTGCATTTATCTGAATACATATCTCTGGGGACGATGCTTTTTCAAGGGTTGAAACCCAAAGTTACCAAATTTTCTGTACAATCTGACTACGGTATATGGTAAAAATCAGAATGCATTATGTCAAACTTACAAGTGATGAAAAATTGTTGGTAAGAGTGGTACTAGGATGACGATGAGGAGGAGAATACCAAGAGCAATAGCTATGCATGTCCACTTTCTCGAGTCCTTCTGATATTCCCTAGCATCCTGCAGCTGCTCTGTACCTCTCCTTACAAAGGAACTTGCGTGAGCAACATGGCTTTCAATGTCGTTGAGCTGGTGGCCCTGTGCTTCCACAAGAGCGGCCATGTCCAGGAACACCTGATGGAGCTCAATCAGGTTCTTCTCTATCTCCTTAACAGCATCGTGTCTTTCTTGTATTTCCGATATGGTATCCAAGATCTGACCTCGCCCCTGTTCTTGGATGGCCTTTTGCATGAAACTCTCGCTCTCCCCACTGGCTATCAAGTTCTCTATTGTTTCTTCGTCAGCTTTCTGTCCTGTAATGGTGAAGTACCTGCGTTCAACTGTTTCTTTATACTCTGCATTCATTCTTGCTCTTAATCCCTGGAAATTATCCATCAAATCCTTCAATTTCTTCCCCAAGCCGCTGACAACTGAAGTCCTGGTTCTGTCTGCAGAGGATCCAGGGCCACAACCCGGAAGGTTTCTAGTAGCTGCATTGGATCGTTCCAAGCCTTCAAGTTTTCCCTTGATGATCTTCACCTTTTTAAGAACCTGCTCAACATCAATATCCATCCGAGCACGAAGCTCTTTCATGGTCTTTGCATTGTGGACGGTTTTGCTTTCTTCATTGGCATCCTGCAATGCCTTGTATAGCCTCTCAACACCCTTCATGTCTTCCTTTACATTCTCAACATCTACAAAGAATTTGTCGAGATTAACACCCTCCTTCCCAGCCTCCACGTCATCCAGCTGCGACTGCTGCCGCAGGTCGGTGTACTTCTTGAACGAACTTGAGAATAGATCATTCATCTTTGCCTAAATTATCAGTCAATACTCCTCTTTCACAACTAGAGTTTCTTCCTGCTTATGCAATTCAACAAAAAGAAGTAGGAAAAAAAAATATATTCTATTGTAGGTTTTGTTGCTTATTTTGTTAAACTTTCTGAGGAATTTGGTGTTTTGTTTTTCCCTTTATCATCTGCTGACAAAAAGGCAAAGCAAAAGCGAAAGTGCAACCATGAACTGGTGGTGGGCTATGGTTCCTTATTTTTGGTGATGATGGTGATGATGAGAAGGATGAAATGTGAATTTGAGGTCGTATTAAGTCGGTTTGAGAATAGTAAATGATATTCCTCTACACATTTTTGGGGGTTGACCTGGTCTTCCATTTGTGTCCATCCCTTCCACAAAGCTTCAAATTCCTTCTCTATCCAACTTAGTGGACTCTGGTATTACCCATAATTAGGTTTGCTAATTAAATAGGAGATCAATCCAAGGTTTTTTGTTTTTTATTTTTTTGTTTTTTGTTTTTTCAGTTAGACATAAAAGTGAAGTATACAGGCATACATCTACATCATTCATTAATCAATAATAAAATCAAATTCTTATTTTTCTTTAATAAATCAACTCTTCAATCTCAATTGGGGCAGGTTAGTTTTTTTGGTTCTATATCATTAATCAATAACAAAATGAAGTCTTAAAATGTGAAATGCTTTCTGCACCAAAAATAATAATAATAAATAAATAAAAGGTGAAATGTTTTCCTATAAATTGATTCTGAGAAGGGTAGCCAGAAAGCTCTGGAAAGTAAATAAAACTACATGGCTTCTTCAACACTCCATCCACGTGTTCTACCCAAGTTTACATCCAGCAATGTATATTACTTTAGAGAGGAAGAATAATGGAATGTCAAGAAAATTTCTGAGACCTCTTCTGTATGTACACCAGCAAACAAACATTGGTAATGTGGAGAACCTATGACCAAAATTATTACCACCTTCAATTTAGCCCCCTCCTTTTTAATCCATAATGACATAGAATAGATCTAGGAAAAAGTGTTGTGTAGTTTAGATTGCACAGGATTGCACAATTCTAACCATTGGATGGGGGAGGGTCTTGTTTTGCAATCTAGGGCAGTCCAGGCTGCAAACTGGACTGCAAAACAGGGGCTCATAAATGTATTGGTTGATATAGATCCAGACAGCTGCACAGAAAAGGCTGAAGACAGTTGTTGTCAGTATCTTGATGACTGCCTCCAAGGGCAATTCCACTGAGTTTTTCTCCTTCCATTCCTCAATCTGGTTGTGTCTGACTAACTCCCGAATTACTAGTACCACCAGAGCTCTGTAACTCTTGCTGCCTGAGGTACCTCTCAGTGGCATCTTGAAGCAACTTCATCATGCTGCTGGAATCAGAAAGAGATGGCTCTTCTTCCTTCTCTGGCTGGATATTCAGGTCGATTTGACCCTTGAAAGGTGTTGATGAGGATTTTGTCTTGCTAGGATCATCATCAGAACTCTTACTGACTACCCTCTTTGGGTTTGGATTGCTATTTCCTGCATTGCTAGAAGTCAGGCAATCATCATCTAATAATTTCTCTGGCAGTGGTGGTTGATGCTTCTTGCGTTCAGTTTCTGATTCCTTTTGTGATTGTTTCTTCTCTCGCCGCAACATCAGGGTGTGGAAACGGCGCTTCACTGTCTGGCAGACATTGCAAGTACATGTCTGCTTGTGTTTGGGGCCCTTCCCACTTGGGGGCTGAATGCACACAATGCACGAGCAGCCAGGTCTATGCCGGGGGTGCCTTGTGGTAGCCTGTGATGATGCTGGGAGAGCCTCTCCATCTTCTAAGATAGCTAGGTTAGCAAGAGTATCCAAACCCTCCGAAGCAGCAACACTCTCTGGTTCCCGTTTAGCAGCCTTCATCTTCTCAGAAGCAGCTGCCCAATCACAACCACAAATCATTTCCTAATTTCACATTTGAAAATGAGGTTAAAAAAATCACCAATTACACAAATGATACCATCTCTAGACTGTCAGATTTATGCATAATCTGCATATTTGCTTCCACTCATTTAAACAAAAAGATATTTTATATTATCCCAAGCAACTTATACCTGAATTACTTTGCAGCAGCAAATCTTCAAGCTGTTCTGCTGACAATTCCTCAGCTGCTGAACAAGAAGATCTGGCAGTAGAGAAAATTGAAATGTATTAATGAAATGCTAGGACCACAGCTATTTTTGGTTTTTGCCATTTAACTCTTACTTGGTTCGTTCTGTTTTCTTTTCAAAGAAATGAAGAGAACGCTAAACATGGATATACGCTGTATAACATAATTGCATTCTTTTACTAAGAAACATCCATGTCCCTTCCACTTATTGGCATTTGAAGCACCAATAGGAACAAAAAGTTCTCCCTAAAGATTGCAAGGAAATGGGAAAAGGACGAAATAAGCACTGCAAAATAGGAAATATATACGACTAACCTTGATGGGTCCCATGAATTACTTGAACAAGTCCACCTGGATGGTAGAAGAGTGCTAGCAGGCAACTTGCGCCACTTAAAACAATCTTCACACTCAACCCATTGAAATTTCTCACTTAAAAAAAAAAAGGATAAATAGCATCAAGTAAAATCCATTTCAAGTAGAAGATAGAAGAGGAACAATAATTGATTAAAGCAGAAAAAGAAAAAAAAAAAGAATGCACTTGTACAGGACAAGGGAAGAGGACAGCAAAGGGGTAGAGAACTCTAAATTTTTTGATCTGATGTTTTCTTATCCGTGGTGCTATACTCCTCAAAACAAAGATTTCTGTTGTATGGAGGATAGCATAGGTTTTTTCTCAACAAAGATAGAAAATTAACTTGATGAAATACTACAACAATATAGAAATACAGTATGTTGGTAGTCTCCATAACAAAACACAAATGTATAAATAGATAACCAAATCAATAAAATCATTATAAGATACTAAAAGGACATAGCCAAACCATACACAAATTACGTATGTAACATCACTGACATAAGCCTGAGTACTCTGAAAGTAATTTACCCTGCATTATCTGTCACAAGTATTTTCGGCTTCCCAAGTATTGGTGCATCCTGATATAACACACATCCAATTAAAAGACAAAAACTAGTAAATAAAAAACTATAAAATTCCATCACACAAGTATACACCTCCAATGATAATCAGATGAAACGAATCAGATCTTAAAATGAGCTAAGTGAATGTTAGAATAAGTGAAAACATTTTAGCATCAGAACCAGCATTGGCATCTATAAAAGGTAACATATCTGGTCAAGTACAGAAGTACTTGACAAGTGTGTGGCTGTACAGAATGACCAGATCAGCACACAATGACCAGAAATATAATTATGTAATACAAGTACCAGTCCATCTTGTTTTCAAGAAAAGGCTAGATCATAAAGGATACTGCATGTGATCAAAATATATAGAAACACAAAAACAAAAAACAGCACCTGACCAGCCAATCTATAATAAAGAGAGAATAAACAAATAATTATTGTACCTTGTATTCTTCAAACTCAAAGCCTTCAATAACAACAATACTGGGAATATGATTGGGAGGTGGGCGGAGCAGTCCTTGGGCATCTTCCCATGTTATTTTGAGCTTTATCAGATCCCCATTATCAATTTTTACGTGCTTACTCTTTGAAACTAGCATGCTATTCTTTCTCTTTCTAGAAATCATAGGTTTGGCTTCCAATGCGTCTTTTGCTTTATCAACTTTTGACCATGAGGTAGGATCTGCCAAGTCAACCTGGTCAATTGATGAAACACTACATGAGCAATATATTCAATGATGAATAGTTAAAGAAACATCAACAGTTTTAGATTTTAAATACTAACTTTTACAACTACAGAAACACCATTGGCAGCCCTTCCTTCATTATCCTGCAACATAACCACAATCAAAATAGATATAAGTTTCTTCTGAAGCTGTTTAAGATCGACAATTAAGTTGCCAACCAAATTCTACATAATCATCACATCAGTAGGCAACATATGTAGCCCTCTCAGCAACAGATCTAGATTCTAGAAACAAAACAGTTTCAGCAGTTCCTAATACCAGAGAGATCCCTTTGGGGAGAAAGATATCATAGGGTTTTTTTGTAGTGAAAATGCTACCGTATGAAGCATTATACTTAGTATAGTAGCACATCTGAAGTTCATGCTTGGTTTTGATTCAGTGTAACCCTGGGGATGCCAAGAGTACGTCTATCTCCCCTTGTGGGGCAGTGATAGGAATATATACTTGAACTTGCTTTCCTCCTAAGAACATTTGTCAGTGATATCCACTAATCTAGGTTATGCTTTCAATCAAGATAAATTGTATACCAGAAACCCAAATTTGAAAAGTTATAGTTCCTCATCCAGCCACCAAGGCTTGATAGGGAATATTCTATACTCCATTTTCTCCCATGATATGAACAATCAGAAAACTCAATCGATATAGGAACACACAATATGAAAGTGACTTCACACATTGTTTTCACTGAAAGATAGTATGCTATTATTGAAGACCACCTGATCAGATGCTGGAGCAGTTGAAGCCTTTCTGTATCCCATAAACAATTTTCCTCCTGGCTCTAACCGACTAAATGTTACTGAAGAAACAGAATAAAACATCAGTTCTAAACAAAGTGATCAAAAGAAAGATGAATCGAGTATGTAATGAATTGAAACAGTTAAGTAGAAGAGAACTAAAATTTACGGGCAACATCATTGCCATTTGACACAGACAGATTCCAGCTCTGTGTCAATGACACGTTAGAACCAGTAAATTCAAGCAGCAGATAAACCAAGGCTGAGAGAACTCCAAAGAAGAGAAACTGATGATGGGTAAGGCAGCTAAAAGCTGTATAATGACATCTCACTACACATGTCCATGTAAGTAATAATTGGAGCTTTGGAATTTGTGCTTTCAGGGGTATGAGATGCTTACCTACATCACCTGCTTGCAATTGCATGTTTTGAATGCAAGGAGTAACACCCTCTAAAACATACATTCTGCTATTATTGTTGGGCCAGAACCGGAACTGAAATGTCCATTCCTTGCCCTTTGCATCCTGGACTTCAAGAGGTAAACCTTCAGGCTGAGATATTGGAGGGAAGTAAGCCTGTCTCAAGGTGTCAAAATATTAGTATGTTAAAAATCCAAATGAAAAAGTATGAGAAATTATAAGTTTAAAACTTTGTGTCCAACTAAACTAAAGAAAAGGCACACATTATCACTTTGCCATAAATATTATACAAGTTATTGATTGTACAAGCCACTTTCACACGCATGTTGAAGTCATATTATCCAATCTCCTGATGGGTTTTTCCATGCACATGACAAATGCAATGAAAAATGAAAGCATTGTATGCATATGCAAAATGATACATACTTAGATCATCAATATCACATTATTGCTCTTAAGTGTTTCAACCCATTAGAATAATTACATAAACAATTCAGTCCTATCCACCATAAACTTCACAAATGCTTGTAGAAGATGAAGAGAGAGGCAAGGTTGTTTTCTCCTAATACTAAAGAATGCAAATTCTGATCAAATTGAAAGTCTCACCTCTGCACATTTCTTTGGCAGAACCAAACGCCCACTTCGTCCAGCATCACTTGCACTCAACATTTTCTCAAACAAAGGAGTAATTATGGAATTTGAACTTGAATATGGTTAAGTCTTACAAGAAGGCAGATTTAATAAAAAATGGACATGCATGGTTACTATATATGAGTAGATAAATAGATAAACAAGCAATTAAAGAGTGTACATAAACAAATTAAAAAAAAAAAAAGATAGAATCCCCAAAAGTACAGTTTGTTAATAATCAAAATTAGCAATGTGTTCCAAAATATCAAAAAAACACCTTTTATATAATCAAAGGATACTCCCCAGTTATCTGCTGTAGGTCTTGATCCGTAAACCTTGGCCAAAACTGAGAAAATAACTGATTCCTTCCAAGTGCTTCCGGTCGAAGCCTTCCATAGTGGATCTGCGTTTCATTCAAGAAGTCAAGTCCATTTTGTTGGCTACCATGAAATTGCTTTGCAAGAGGAGGTTGTAGACTCGATTGAAAAAGATTGCTAGCAACCCCTTGTTGGCTATTTGTTTCATCTTGGGATGTATGAGTTGAAGCGAGACCAAACTGTGGATTAGATTGATCCTGCTTTAGAAGGGAAGGCTGCTGAGGTTTATTTGAACATGACCAAGGTTCTTCCTCACCATTAATTCCTGCAGAAAATAGTCAATGAAAATAGTTAGCCTATTAATTACCAGACCATTTTCACCAGCAGCAACAGGACAAGATGACTGTATCGCTTGGAACATTTACATGTGCAATGTATGTGACCACGTATTAATATTTTACTTTTAGATATTGCACAGATTTGAACTGAACATGTATGCATATATCTATACAATTCCTTACACCACAAAACTAAGTGAGGGAAATAAAAGAAAATCTGAACCTGGATGTACATTCTCATGTATATCCCGTGTCCCAAATTTCAAGCTTCCATTCATTCGTCTTTTAGGAAAGCTCTCTATTTTCCTCTTCTCTGGAGAAGGGAAAAATGGCTTTTCACTGGCACCTAGTCTTTCAATTCCAGTGGACGAGTCAACTTCATAGGGTACCCTAGGATGGAACTCAGGTTGAGAAGCAGAAGAGTTGAACAATGTGGGCGCTTGTTGCCAAGATACAGGACCAGATCCTGCTAAATGGCTCCAACTTTTGACAGATGATTGAAAAACCAAAGGACCAGACCATGGAACATTTTGCCCCTGAATATAATTAATAGAATTAGAATTGTCTTAGATATTCTGGACCCAAAAATCAAACAGGAAATCTCATTCAAGTAGCAAAAGTAAACTACAAGCTCAAAACAAAGTGTAATGAATCTGCTAATGAAGAAATTTCTGTTGTTCATGTATCATCTAAATGATGAAACTATAAATGGATCTCTTCCAAAATTTCCCCCAAAAAAATGAAAATTATGCTTCCTAACCATGCATAGACAATAGTGGAGGGATAGCTTTTATGAAAGATCATATTATTATGGAATTAAAGAGATAATATGGCACTAGATTACTCTGCTAGCTAGTTTTAACATAAGAAAACTTCAAGAAGCTGAACTTTCTTCTATTATCCTTCATGAATGATCAAAAAGATTAAAAGTTCATCAAATTCAAATTATTAAACATTAAGTAGAAAGGTAGGATCACTGGTTGCAACTTGCAAGATTACTAAGTAGCCTCAAATAAACCACACAAGCTATGAGAAGCGTCTTGGAAATATCCCCATAATATGGACACTGGTATGAAGAAGAGGCACACATTCATTCTCTATTAGCAAACAAAAAGCCATCCTTACCAGAACAACATTTTTTCCTGCACATGCTACACATTCGATCCCTCCTGGATCCAGTAATGTAAATGCATGGGCTGAAACTATACATCCACAATGAACCCGCTGCAAAGGAATATCAACTATATGCTGATGTAAAACCTCAAAAGAAAGAAAACTAAAACTGAGAATCTCTAAACCATTTAGTTGTTTTCTAAAGTAAACACCGTGACTGTCAGATAAATTGATCAATAATAAACATTCTGACCTTCCCACAAGATTTGCAACTGCTCCAACCAGGAGCATTAGAGTGGAAAGCATCACAAAATCTTCCCTCCTCATAAGCAATGCTAAAGTCACAAGAGCTAGAGTCAGTTTTGAGTCAAAATTATTATTACACATTTACACTAACTAAAAACCCACTCATGATACAGAAGAAGTAGCGCATTGCATTGGCAATCAACCAACATAACCAAGAAAAGTTTTGTAGATTCCAATTCCAGTTAACACTGTAAGTACGAGAAACAAAGTTCAGTACCCATTTCACAAAGGACACATCAGACCGCAAATACCACAACTAAACCGAAATTTTTCGCAAATTAACCTTCACCAAGAGTCCAAACCAAACACATATATGAACGCACCTAAAGCCTCACCACGCTCAACCTCAAGCTAAATAAAACTTCAAAACCAGAAACGAGCACTCAGTGAAATGAATTCAACAAATAGTCGAGAACCAGCTCACCCGCATCGATCACAGAGCTCAGCAAACTCTCCAGTGCTCAGCCACCACCCTTTCCTCGGCCTCTCTGATTTCAACTCCGTACACTCCGCGTTGTAGCAAATCTTCGAGGAAGACGACGACAGCGCCGCCGCCGCCGAAGTCGACATGCCGTTTCAAAACCTTAAACTCCACTCATCAACATAGAATTCCAGATATCAACTAGAGACCGAAACCAGACACCGTTCGGAAGAACATGGCGGTTTAGAGGCCGATCTGCGCGAGGGGATGGGAATCAGAGAGGGTAGTTCGGAGGAGAGGCATTGAAGGCTTTTTTGTGAGAGAAAGTAAATGCGATTTTTACGTGTTTTTTTAGATATTGAGGCTTAAAACACACGTCGAGTCCGTCGCACACTTTAAAATTATGTTGGCGTCGTCGATTTTTTTTATATTTCTTTTTTCCACTTCTTGTCCTCAGTGTCAATTTGGATTGGATGAGAATATGAGATTGTTTTATTCTATGTGTACTGTAGTCGGTCTAATTTATTGACAATATTATAGTTACGCCATAAAGTGAATGTATTTTATTTTTATAAATAAATATATATAATATTATTACAATGTCAACGACTTAAATAATTTAAAAATTATCTCTTTTTACTGAAAGTTAAATATTTTAAATTCAAATCACATGACATACGGATGAGATACGATAAGAAATAAAAAATAATTATCTCTCATTGTATAATTAAGATAAAAAAAATATTATTATAATATTAAATAAATAAATATAATATTATATAACCTTTAAGTAAAAAAATTAATTATATATTAATATATTATATTTATTATTAAAAATTAAATTTTTAATAAAACACATTTACTAAAATAATTATACATGTGTCCAGCACTTAGAGATCAGCTGATCTCCCTACAAAACAAAACGTGTTTAGAACTAATTGAACTTGAATTAAATCTCAAGTCCCGTTTCCCGTCCCAAAAAAAAAAATTCCATCGTTCAAAAAAAAAAAATTGTACATGTGGATGATTTTAACTTTCAATCCCGTGGTTCGTGTTACTATACCAAACAAAACAAATAATAATTATTTTGTTTGTACTTTTTAATGTCAATTATTGGGATGAGTTGTTGTCACAATTTAAGTTGGGACGGCATTAATTTATATATAATTTTATTAGTTTATAATTTTTTAAAGAGTTGATATAATATTTAAAAATTTTTATTTATAAATTAATTTTAATTTATTAAATAATAAATATTAATTATTTTATTAATTATTAGTTATTTTTGATAAATAAAAATTTAACCATAATTAATAATTAAGTTTACTAATTTGTATCCTTAAGATATATTAAAAATGTATTATATATATTTTCGTAATAAATTTGTATTAAAAACATAAAAATTATCTTTTAATTTATTAATTGTCTAATTAAATTTATCTAATATTAAAATTAATATTAATTTTTATATTTTTTATATATATTTATAATAAAAAATATATCAAATGTACCCTTATGATATAAAATAAAAAAAAAACCCTTAATAATTTTAACAATTTAAATAATAACCATAATCATAGTCTAATTATACTCAATAGAAAGTCAACATTATTCACATGATATACCTTTTGGAAAATTTTTCCAGCATTATCAACAATTTCTCACGTAAACAACGTGAGAAAAAGTGCAAAACACCAATGTGGGTTTCGCAGCAAAATTCGTTATGAAGGGTTGACGGCAAGAGAATATTTGAAATTTAAAATTTTGCCAATTTACATCGTTCAATAACATAATGGAACATTACTAAAAAGTGTACCAAGAATTACCTCGTCCAAAAAATATTTGAAATTTTTTAGCTCCTTCCGATGTTGCATCATTCACCAATAACATGATGTACATGTACGGTCTCACAGGGCTCTCTGGTTGACCCTGTTCCATCTGCAGATCCAACCACAGAGAGTTGAAACGAGGAGTTTAGTTTGGTGTGTCCTGATCTTTGGACCTTGGATACTGTCCGTGTCAGGCAAAGATGGAATTTTCAACGGCAACAAGGTCAACGGGTTGGGTTTTTCGGCGATGATGTCAACAGTCAACGGGCTGACTAGTTTTTGGACGGGGAGTTAGATTATTGGGTTGGGCTGGGGCTGGGCCATCTGGAATTCCTTTCGAGATCCATTTGAAAATTGCGGTTTCGTTGAGGGAAAAACTTCCTAATATTGACAACTGATCCTTTAGAGTTCTTTTGGTGTCAAATAGCCTCACAATTTTTCAAGTTTTGTAAATCCACCCCAGTAAATGTCGATGGTCATGCATCCTTGGTTGGTGCACCTTTTATCCAGTGTTAATGTGGGCATTTTCATCTAAACTTAGACGTAGTACATAAAACATTGTTAAGTTGAGTAACTTATTTGAGTAACCTATTTAAAAGTAGAATATTTTTTAAACTAGAGTTATTATGCTGGTAACAAAAATTTCATGTCATTGTAAGAAAAATGAAATCCTAACTATCACATGCAACACATTAACTTCTTTGTTTACTTTTTTTTTTCTTTTTTGGTTAGGGGCTTGTTTAGTTACCAAAGAACTCAAAGAAAATATCTAAAAGAACTAACATTAAAAAACCAACTAGTTACAATCAGGATTTTCATTTTTTTAATATAAATCTTTTAAAATATGTAATTGATTATATTTTGAATATGAATGCTTATATGTCTTTAAATCTAAAAATAAAAATTTCAAATGCAAGCCATAGCTCAACAATTCATGGCTTCCAATGGATATTATTCCGAGGGGTCTTAGGCAATCATGCCTTAGATATCTACGACTACAAGTTAAAAAATTGAGGGGCTTATTTGTCATAAAAAAACTAACAAGGGCTTAATTGCCTGAACTGAAGAAGTTCTAGCCTTAATTGGAGGTTACTCCTTCGTTAAACCCCTCCGTCCCTCCACAGGGCAAACCAGTCGCTGCCATGGAAGAAGAGTTCGAGGAGGAAGCGCCACCAACAGTCGCAAAAGTTCGAGGCCGCCACATAAAGAAGAGGGCTCTCAAGAACAAGGCGCTCTCCGTCTCTTTCAGCGAGAAGGATCTCAAGTATGGGAAAAGCCAAAAGGCCTACTTTGATTTCATTCTTTCTCGAAAATAAAACCCTATACTCTGTTCTGTTTTCAATCTTTGAATAGTCTCTTATGTGTTGATTAGAGATTTCGTGTCTGGGTTTCACAAGAGGAAGAAGAAACGGAGAAAGGAAGCTCAGAAGAAACAAGAGGAGGCACTTCGCCGCAAGCGCATTGAGGAGCGCAAAAAGGTTTTTTTTTTTTTTTTCTTTCTTTCTTAAATTCCTATTTTTCTCCTTTTTCTTTCTTAATTTTAAATTTGAGGTAGCTCTAACTTTGTATTTTTAGGTATAAATTTGGATTTTTGAGATGACTTTTATGTTTAAGACACCTGATTTGTTTGTCAGAACTCAATATGCCAATTAGATAGAAGGTTGTGCTTGAATGTAATGGAACTGAGAAGTGATTTGGATGGCGTTAGAAAGTTAGAATCTCAAGCTTAGTTTGAAAATACAAGCTGTTCATTTAAGCTTATTATATAGCACCAAGTCTTAGCTGCCTATTAACTAAGAAGGGAACACAAGATCCTACACTCGTCCTGAGGTTAAAAGAATTATATCAAAGCATGTTGTGCTCAATTAATGGTGATGAAGTTGTTAATTGTCATTTTATGCCTTGTGGAGGAAGAGGGGCTGTCTGAATGAAAGGCCATTTAGCACCTTTGGTGGGATTGAGAATGGAAGGGATTTGAAACTAGGAAAGAGTTAGTAATTCAAGGCCATTGTCATAATTCCTAATTTTTCATGTGATGGGGTTGTTCTGAGAATTCTTAGATTAATGTATTGAGATAGTAATATGGTATATCAAATGCCAAATGACACTTTTTGTTTCTGTGTTTCTATGCTGATTTACTTGGAAGTCTAGATTATGTAAAAAACAAGGTAATCTTACTATCAATTGTAATTTAATATTTGGCTCCTTTTCTATCTTGATTCTTGAACAGTTGTCCTATGTTATTAATTCTCTGGTATGATGAATGTCACAGAGAAAACTGGAAAGAGAACTTGCTTTATATGGTGCAGCCCCACTGAGGACTGGTTCAGAACTTGATGAAAGTGATGGGGACCATGAGGAAGATAAAGGAGAGCTGATTGCATCAATTGCTGGTAATTTTCAAAATCTACAATCTTATTAATTGAAATACTTACAAACTAGAAGTACATCTGCTTTCTAATAGATAGATCATTGTAGCTTCTGCATGGATCTAACTCAACATGCTATTTTCAATTTATGGTATAAGCTAGAAGGGTCTTCAAGTGATGAAATTTCTGCGAACTTAGCAATGGTAGGAGAAAACAAGTTACCAATTTGTAACTTCAGTGGCCCAAAAAATAAAAAGAAAAGAATTTTGTAACTTCAAGAACACTTACTGCAGAAATTATAACTGCCTTGTTTTCTGGAAATAATCAGACATTTCAGTAATGATATTTGAGGATTCAAATAAAACTATCGTGTCTTATTGTAGGATGCTAGTGTCACCTTAATTTGGATGTAGTTTATGATGAATGCAAGAACTGTACCTTTCTGTCCTGCCTGTATTGCATGCGCAGCATTGTTGTCATCCCTGCCTAAAAACCATGTTTGTTTCTTACTTTGTTGCTGGTCTTTGTTTTTTGGTGGCAGGGACAACGACATACAATAACAGCAACATGACAATCACAGTGACAACTAGTGACATTTCACGTGAGGAAGAAACACTTGCTGGGGAAAACATACGTCCAACCATCCCCATGCCCAAATTAGCTGAAGCCAATAAAAAGCACAACCTACCGGTGAGTAGAAATAAATCATTCAAAAAAGTTGCAAAACACAAGACGAGGCCGAAGCCGCTTAAGAAAAGAGATAAAAAGAAGGGGAAGAAGAAGAACAGGAAAGCACATTAGCTACCATGAACAACATCTTTGGAATTATCTGCACCATTTCATTTTCTTTTGTTCACTTTTTGTTCCTCTCTTATGGATGTAACATGGGTTTTAACGGTTCGCTAGCTGAGATTTTGTTGCTGCACTGTTTTATTCTAGTATTGACAGCTTATTTTGTAATCTGTATTTAACAGCATCTTTATCCTGGATTTTCTGTCACCAATAGGTATCTTTATCCTGGATTTTCTGTCACTAATAGATTGAGTTGTGTCTCAAAGAAGATTCGTAACCTTTCTGCAGTCAACCTCATTGATTATTCCTTTGCTTTTGTGTCTCAGTTTTAGGGCTTCTTTTTTTTTTTTTTTTTTTTTTT